GAGTGGTCCAGCTCAGACGATTTCTCGTCGTAGTCATCCGAGAATTTACGGATATCATTGACGTTCCACAAATTGTGAAGACGTTGATCCAACGAGACTGAGTCTTGACCGCGAGAGAACTCATGAAGTTGATTAGAAAGAGCGTCAGCCTCTGGACCGTCAGCCTCCAATTCATCGCCATCGACGCTTTGGTCCTTGTCGTTATCGTAAGCTTCCGTCGCCTCAGTCACGCCATTTGCAGTGGCTTCATCTTGCTCTTCGTCATCCGCTTCACTCTCGGCCGCTACCTCTGCATTGTCCTCTGCTTGAGGATTGGCTTCCTGAAGTTGAGATTCTTCATCGTCGCCGGGACCACCATACAAGGAGAACTTGGCAATGTGCGGGTGAACAGTAGCAATGTGTTCTTTGAGAGCATCTTGTTGCGACTTGGGATCATTGGCAGACTCGAATCCCTTGCCACACCAAGAGCATTTAGATTTGTGCGTCATGGGGGAGGGGGATGGAGACGCCTGAGTAGAAGTAGAGTGAGCGTGCAATGGCTCGGAGAATTGTCGGCGCAGCGGAGAGTCCTGGCTGGCCAAGTCCGAAGTATGGCTGTCCAGTTCCGCCTCGTTATGAGGAAGCGGAGCCATAATGGACAGAAAGGGAAGATGAGAAGAAGAAGTAGTCAAGGAGAAAGTAGTAGGAAGTGAGAGCACTAGCAAAAGGGGATATCTGATTCTCCTTCGAGAGGCCCAACGTGGGATCTGGCTATAGTGTTAGTCGACTAACTTCCGGCTGAAAAGTTCGCTTGCGGCGCCAAGACGCCAGAAGTAACTGCAGCGCAATCTTCTACACCAGACGCCCCGAGAGCGTAAGGGTGGGAAAGGGGAAAACAAAACACGGTCGAGCAAGCAAGACAAGTGAGATGCATGAAGAATTGGGCTGCTCTCCAATGACGGATGGACCAAAACGTTGACAGAAACGTGGCAGACATGGCTTTGGCAGGCACAAGTAGAACGTAGTATGGGTCAGGCAGGTGATATGTAACATACCTTTGGGCGAGAGAAATCCGCGTCAGTGTCTGAAATAAATTGAGAGAATCAAGATCTGAAGATGTGAGGAGATCGCCCTCTGAGAAGCGCGATGAAGCAGAAGTATGGTGGTTGTTGTGCAGAGTCAACCACGGTGGACGCCGCGAACGGTTGGCAGGGATAGTTTAAGAGGTTCGTAGTTCTTGAAGAGGAAAAGTAGGAAGCCGAGCGGGTAAGCAGAAAAACTATGCGTCTGCCACGCCGGCAACAAGCCAAGAAACCAGAAGCAAGAGATCTAGACAGAGAAGGTATAATGCACAAGATGAAGGGATTGAGATAGATGGCAAGATATGTTTGCTGTAGAAAGGAGAAAAGAGCTGGGGGTGGGTTGTGTTAAAGCTTTCCGTAGCAGTGGAACTATGAAGTCTTGACGGAATGGGGGAAGACGGGCAGATGGCGAAAGAGGGAGGAAAAGGAAGAATGAAAGGGAGAAGATCGGAGGGGGAGGGATTAACCACGAGAAACACCACCAACAGCCCAGCACCAACACGGGAAGCGGGCAGTGAAGAGGCAAGCAAGAGAGATTTGTGGGATGTTTAGACACAGTGAATGCTGGGGGGGGAAAAAGGAAGGGAAAGACTTCGAGTTTGTAGAGGCAGCAGGTCGCCTTCACAAAGCGATCTAGTAGGAATAGTAAGTGTCCCAGTAAAGAAAGTACTTGAGCTTTACTTACCTTACCTGGCCGGACTGGCCTTTGCAATCAACTTTTCGCACTGGGTTGGTATCGGCACCGCTTGGCCGCTGGTACGCGCCATACGCAAGTTACCTTATTTTACTGTATGGACCCACCCAAATAGCCAATCTGGGGCCCTGATCCGCCCGGAAAAAGACCAGCTCCGGATAGATCCCCGTCACGCAGACGCCGTAGTCTTAATCAGGCCAATAAAATTAATCGCAGTGGTCTGCTGGTCTGTTACCGGACAATACCCCCAGTCCTGTAGTCCAGGTCGGAGGTATACCTTGAGCGCCCTGAAGATGGGCTTGTTGATGCTGAGGATGCTGTTTTTCTTCTCCTCCAGGGGCTACTCCTCGAGGGGAAGTATTTCTAGTTCAGATAAAGTACTGACTATCGTAGTAGCCGTCAACTCCGTATGAGGAACCGGGGGTAGATCACAGCACAGCTGGCGTCAACTTCGTCTCATCTTTCGGGTTGCCAACCTGATAGATGGACATTCTTCTACCGTGTACCTGCCTGAGTCATGGGGCGGTATTGTTACCCCGTCTACGTGACATCATCTACTACGGTACTTTAGGTACTTTATTGAGGGACAAATATCTCTAAGTCGATAATAATTATAATATTCCTTACCAACCCATCATAGCTATGCCTTAAGCTGCAAAGTATCGAGTGTCCCTATTCCTGTTTTCCAGACAAACGGCAATGTGGGAAAAATGGGCTGATGGTGCTCGGGAGCGACCAGTCAAATTGCCAGTCGTTGATGAACCATCACGGAATGTCTCGGTAACAAACCATGCTGAAAGCATACTATAAAGTGCGACGAGCGGGGGAAATGATCGAGTCCTAGCAGGTTCTGACATGATCATTAGGTAGTTGCGTGGACATTGGTGGGCCCAGATTTTCACACAGTCATCATTATCATTTTCAAAGAATTAGTATGACGATACTGATTGTTATTATACCCCAGGCTAGACTTAATATCTAGCTCACCTCGACTGATTCGGGCAGCTCCTAATCAATTGATCCCTGTGTTATCTCCTGGTCTTATTGGGCATAACACCACCTCGGCGGAATTCTTCTGCTACAGGCATCGCTATATATTCAGCAAGGTGTCTACGATGGTTCATATTATCAATGTAGCGATCAATGGTTCTCTAACACCCGAGTCGTTGTCATTATCATTGAAAACATGGCTCAATGATATCTTTTTTGCCATATTCCGGTCGTGGATGCATTAAGTTTCTTGGCCCATTATACATTTCTATGGCGTCGATATCCTTCACCGCGCACCTCTTTAAAGCTTGCTGTATAATTTGAAATATAAGTATCACACCATAGATAGCCTGTAACTACTTTTGTGCTCTCATCTTTTCAGCAACACGCGCTGTTATCCTTCTGACATTGTTTCACAGGGACCCGCCACGCGGCAGAGTATTACATTTCTAACACGCAAAAGCCTGTTTCATCCCTCGACTATGAAGGACTGGGGCATACACGCGGTCTCCAGTAATGAATTGCTCCTGGGGTCATCAAGCCTACAAGCTGAGCGACGATGTTGTCCTCCTTCCGGGTGCTGGCAAGCAAGGGGCTGAAAACTCATGGAAGATCGGCTTGCAGCGCTGACAGTTACATACCCCTACGTTAGCATCTAATCATAACTCGTGGCGAGCATTGAGTCAAACAGGTGGTCTCCAGCAGTAAAGACTATCGGCCACACGTACTGTGTCATGTTGCGCAATGGATTTATCTGCGGTCTGTTTGATTATAAGGACTGGGTTTGAATTTCCAAATGCATGACGGAGTGAGGTGGGGAGGCCTTTGCTTCTTTGATGAGATTTGCAGGAGTACTATTGGTGTAGCCTGGACTCTCTTGCATTATTGGGTAGCAGATAATGCATGTTCAAAAAAGCACCAGCTGTCGTGTCCACTGCTATGTACTAAGCTGGTGTTAAGTGGATTATCGGGTGTGACTGTATCATGCTATTACCAACAAGTAGTCTGAAGGTGTACTTTGTCGAACTAGATATATAAAGGGAAACTTGATGGTTCGGCTAATTTCTCCTAGTACTGATTACTTTGGAACAATGAAAGCTACTAGTAGGTTACCTTCGGTTCGAAATCCCCTTAATGTAGCTCAAGTAACTCAAAAATATAAGTAGCAGTAGAGCTAGTAGACAAGATATATTTCTGATGTGGGCAATGCACCTACTAGTTGGATTGTCCGTCGAATATCTATTTATAGTTTAGTTTGTTACGACTGCAGTATGCTGCAGTGCTTCTAGTATACACGCGTCTGGACGGTTTCGCCATTCGATACAAGTGAGACAAAAAGCCACTGCGATAAAGCCACCCGCCATCTATAGCTTGGAGTAAGTATGGCACTGGACGAATCCCTCCAAAGGCAGAGTAGAAAGATTACTTCAACCCGCTAACGCCTCCTGGGCCCTTGGCGCAGGTCATCCGGGCTCCACCGCCCAACCTCGGATTCCCCAGAGCTCCAGCTTGCCGTCCATTTCCTTCCCGATATTATTGTCTTCTGCCTGACTGTTCTACCTGCCCGCCATCCTTCAATATACCATACCTTCACTCATAAGGCATTGCTACTATTCACACAATGCGCCCCAAGTCTTCAAAACCCACCAGTGATGAGCTGCTCGCTCAATTTGACGACCTGGGGGTCGATTCTGCTCCCGAGCAGCAGCCCTCCAAGACGGCTCCCAAACCCACCACGGCACAGTCCGAGCAGGACATTCTCGCAGAACTGGACAGTCTAGCCACCCAGCGCCCCAGCAGTGGCCCAGGAACCCCGCGCGTGTCTACAAACGAACCCAGACCTACGATCAAGTCGCCCAAACCGGCTGCCACTACCACAACCCCCTCTACCGGCCGTTCTAGTGAAGAGAGACAGGCGCCCCGTAAGTCGGAGGAGATCACCAGAGCTTCCGCTACGGAGAAAAAGGCTGCAGATGTGCCGAAGCCGGAGCCTGAGAAGCCAGAGGCTCAGGAGAAACCTGCCTCGAGCGGTGGTGGCGGTGGATGGTGGGGTGGTATCTTTGCAACCGCCAGCGCTGCCATGAAGCAGGCTGAGGCGGCGGTCAAGGAGATTCAGCAGAATGAAGAGGCTCAGAAGTGGGCTCAACAGATGAAGGGCAATGTAGGAGCTCTCAAAGACCTAGGTATGTATTCTTTGTATAACTTCATTTCGTTTTGAATGGTCGCTAACGACAAACCACCAGGTGGGGAGCTGCGCAACATGGCTATTCCTACGTTTACCACTTTAATCCATACACTCGCTCCTCCCATCTCGTCCCATGAACGCCTTCAAATCCACGTAACACATGACTTGTCTGGCTATCCCAGCATCGACCCTCTGGTGTACGCGGTCTTCTCGCGCGTGATGGCGCAGGTCGAAGGCGGGGATCTCCTTGTCATTCAGCGGGGCCAGGAGTCAGCTCCGAAGCGCGGACTGGATATTGGCGGCGCCCAGTTCTCTGGCCCAGGCTGGCATGATGGCCCATGGTGGCGCACTGTGACGCCTGGCAGCCCTCGCACTCTGTCGGCCATCCGAGGCACAGTCGAGGCCACCAAGCTTGCGCGGGCCAGCGCCGAAGCCTACGCTACTGAGTATTTCTCGGCCAAGGGCGGCGTAGAAGCGGCTGCAAAACAAGCTACTCAAGATCTGAGCGAGACCAACCCGGTCCGCAGCAGCGATATCTTTCTCGCGATCCAGGCCATCAGCCAGACCACCTCAACCGAACTCTTCCAGGCGGGTCCTACAACCGACCAAGCCACCCCGGCGGGCGTTGTGGACGTGCCCGAAGCCGCAGAGGAAGAAGTCGTCTTCGCGCTGTATCTCCACGACCCCATCCACGGCATCGCCTTCCACACGCTCTCTCAGGCCATTCCCCAAAAATGGATCGACTGGCTCGAGACCCCCGCTATCCCAGTGGAGGACCCCGAGGCCGAAGATGCCAGCGTCCCTCGGACCACCATCCCCGACGACATCGCCGACATCATCGAGAGCGGCGGCGTCGACCCCCGAGAATGGGCGGCCGAATGGATCGAGGAAAGCCTGTCCCTGGCTGCGGGTTTGGTTGCACAACGCTACGTGGCGCGGAGAATGGGCGTCGGCGAGGGCGGACCGGCCAAGGGCAAGATGCGTGCTGAGCAGGCATCCGTGGTGGACAGTGGCGCGGGCGAGGCCGCACGCGCGATTTAGAGTTAGATTGATGTGGTGGATACGTCGATCAATCCTGTCCTCTTATCGCATTTGCGTCTTACTTTTATCCTGTCTGCCTTTTTTTTGGGGCGCTTGTCAACCCTTCACATGACCACATGATACGATACGACCCTTAACCCCCCCCCCCAATTCACACTTTCACCCCCACATATTCTTATCTTTGTTGTATTGAGCCATGACATGACAGCTTTTCCATATTCGCGCCATCTGCGGCGTTCTTAATACCATATACATACATACAGACAGTCTTACTTTGAGCTAACACCCGTATCCAATCAGTCCCATGTACATACAACAGACCCCATGATAACAAACAAATACAATCAACGCAGTCTACGGCATCTAATTTACCACTGACATACTATACGTGCCCACATTAAAACTCTAAAATGACAAAACAGTGATCATAAAATGTATTCCAATATTCTCAGGAACATGAGTAACAAACACAACCTTTGCGGGTATCTAAGGTAGTAAGTAGTAGTAGTAGTAGTAACCAGATAGTAACAAGCAGACAGACACGTAATCTCCTTATCACATCATCTTCATCTACAAGGTCGTTATTCCGTTGCATACGCATGCATCAGGCATGAAGTTGAATTGAATCAATCAGTCCAGATGCAGCAATTGCCCTTCCAGGCCAGGAACATGCCAGAAGTTAGCGCGGAGAGCGGTGACACTAAACAGCATTATTAGCATATATTCTCAGAATTCCCGAGCAAGCAGGAAATAAGAAGGGGAAAGGTAAACTAACCTAGTACACCCACTCAGAACAGTATGAGCATCCGTCCCCTCGGGACTCTCCTGCAGCGCCTTCTTCATATCAGACAACTCCGCCGCCCAGGCAAAGTTGCGTTTCTTCAGACCAGTCTCACTCTTGGGTGTGGCTGTCTTCGATGGAGTAGTGGTACCATTAGTGAGCTCCTCCCCATTAGCATGTCCATTGACTCCAACAGGCGCGGCCTTCTCCCCGGACACCTCAGAGTACAAGTACCCTCTAGCCCAGTAATACGGGTACGTGCGAGTCCACAGCACAGGACGGGACTCGACGTCCAGACGCATCGGCACATTCACATTGTACAGCTCGACCTGGTCATCCCAGTTCTGGATGAGATGGTTGACGACTCTTGTAGCGAGACGAGCCGCGGCGTGGATGATATCTAGGGGCTGTTCATCTTTGCTGCCGAAGGAGATGGCGATGCCACGTTTCCCGCATGTGGCTGCTTCCAGGGCGCCGCCGACGGTGCCGAAGGAGAGGTTGTAGATGGTGGAGGCGTTGCGGCCGTGATTGGGGCCGGAGATGACGAGGTCGATGGGGCCGCGGTCGGGGAAGAGGTTGTGGAGGCCGAGTTGGACGCAGCTGGCTGGGGTGCCATTGGTGATTATGACCCAGTCATTGTCGTTGTTGGAAGTAGTGGTAGGATCTTGTTGGAAGGATTCATCCCATGTGCCATCACCGCGGAAGGCAGCTGGTGGGACATAGGTGGCTGTGAGGGAGGCTTCGATTAGATGGGCTTTGCCGATCCAGGAGCGGGAGGCGGCGGGAATGGCCACGGAGATGCGGTGGCCGGCGGACTCGAGAGCCGTCACTAGTGGCTCGATGTATGGGGAGAGGCGTCTGGACGGCGGACCGTCGTCGTTGACCACCTGATTATTTTGTTTTTGTGTTAGTGTATCTGTTTAGCTAATTGGAACTAGTCATGCTGCGTTCTCCAATGCTCCGTATACGGAGGAGGGTAGGTAGGTAGGTAGGTAGGTAGGGAACATGGGGGTCGGGAAAGGAGCGGTGACATTGGGCAGGGCAGCACATGTAAAGTTCAATTCATGATGACGAAGGATGGATGTGTTAAAAAAGCAAATACATACCAATATATGCATGATGAAGGAAGATCTAGTAGATGTTTTGGACTCGTCTTGGGCAATAAGGGAAGAAGAATGGTATATTCTTTTTCTTTCTTTTCTGAATCGGATTGGATTGAATTGGATTGGACTGATTGAATTGATGCTTCGGACTTTTGAAATCGGAATTTACAAAAGCAGCGACCTATTATTTCCCAACGATTTCTCTCAAGATTCCCACTTTCACACACACACACACGCGCGTTGCACTCTTTTCGCTCTTCTCCGATGGAAAGTGGATGGATCCGCACTGGGATTATTTTGGGGCTCGGACTCGGGTTCAGGGTTCAGTTTGTATTGCAGTGATATATGATAATTGCTTCTCCAGATCAACATCTGGCAGCTGTTCCTTCCCCCCCGTATTTATAGGGAAGATTTAGCTGGGTAATAGTTGAGCCCGACAGCCATTTTCGATCACCGTTTACCCCGACCTCGAAGAGAAACCGGGGAGAATCTGGCCTCCATCTCCAAATCGGTCACGGTGAAGCTGTTGCACTGCGGGGGGCGTTGCTCGAAAGACGTCAACTGTGGTTGCGAGCCTCCGTCATGACGATGACCGGACGGGTATGGAACGGGGCTGGAACTATGGGATAGAGAGTATATTACAGGTAATATTACAGTATGTGACAGAACGGGACGGAGGACAGCCGAGGTGCTCCGAAAAGAGGCTGCGGTGAGAAAAAGCAAAGCCTGCGATTAAGTCACACCTCGTGGGGATTCAAGAAGACGAATCGGACCATCCAGAACGGGTGCATTTCCAAGGAGGAAATTTGCCCGGCCTGAAAACACGGCAGTGAGACGGTCAGCTGAGGAGAAAAGAATGTCTTGCTGGGACTCGAAAGGATCGGGTTATTGTTTAGATAATAGATTGATTTCGTCAGTAGATCTTGAAGAATAGTATTCCCGTCGCATGTCAATAGTAGGGAATTCATCAGGCCCTGTGGAAACAACACTATGTCGGTCATGGCTTTAAACTACTACGAACTAGCCAAATGTCTAGTAGGACAGGAGGGTGATCCGAGCATGATGGGAAATACCCCGTAGAGTAAGGCACCAGGAGGTGCAGACGAAGGTAGCTTGGGGCCCGAGCAAAAGCAAAGAAAGAAAGAAAGTAAAAGAAACAAGAAAATCATCAGGCGGCGCATGTTCAATGCAACACAACGATTGCCTCAGATATCCTAGATTAGAGTACAATAAGGTAGACGGCAGAAGACCAAATAAATCCGACAGGGAAGATTGTCGTCGCCAATCAGTAGAGATACCAAGGAATGCCTACTCCTCCGTACATATGCACTGAGGACCCCTAGTGTCTGCATACTTCTTCAAGTAGGGGACATTAAGACACACACATACTTAGATCCTGGCATCAGTGTGCCATTCAGTGCTGTTGGCTTATCTACGGAGGGTTTCTTAACTACTCGGGGCAAAAAAGGTCATGTGTGTATGCATATTCTTAGCTAAGATGATCACTATGATCAATTAATTATTGCGCATCACTCATGAATAATCGGTAGAATAATCATCACATCGCCCACTAACTAACCATCTTACTATCCACACAATGTCCTGAATGGCACACGGGTGTGTGCGGCTATTGCAGGCTCAGAGTGGTTCCGTGCCCTACTGGTTATTATTCATTATTGTTAGCTGTTTAGGTTTTCTTTTTTGTTTGCTCTGTTTAAAAAAATTTTCTTTTTTTTTTTCCAGACCCTGATGGGGCCACACTATGAATTTTGATATGCGAGTCCTGATCCAGCCATGGACAGGCTTCTAGAATAAGAATCAGGACTACTGTGCTAGGCCGCCGGGCCACACACGCTGATTGCTCAGGAGCGCCTTATTCTTAGTTGGAAAAGCAACCACGGTCCCATCCCACCGGCGCCAAGTTGCCAATCATTCCTCTCGGCGGGTCTGTTCTATCCACGCTTTGCGCCATGGCGTTGTGGTTACTCCGTGGTAGCCGCGAGTCAAACAGCCCCTCTGACCACCGGCACCTGGACCGACCATTCTAGCAATAATCGATCCATCCGCGGAGGACAGCCCCCCGTAGTCGGTTTCAACGGAATGATTTTCTCGCGTAATCCTGGACTGTCATGTTGGCAACTCACACTATCGCTCACCAACCAGGATTGTGGGTGGTCGGTAGTGTGAGTAGTGTGAGTGCACCTGCACTGGCTGCTGCTTCACTGCTGCAAGTGGTCCTTGTCCGTCGGCCCTCCTTGTTCATCGTTCGTAGGTGCAGTAGTTTCAGGCGCGAGGGGACGATCCACGGCTTGACCCCTCTTTGTACCGCGTTGGTTTGTAGGGAGGACCCCTGAGGATCAAACTCCGACGGCCATGAATAGATAGCGAGGCGTACGTAGCTCTCTGGACGCGGTGTGATTTCCCCCTCATGATGGTCAAGGATAGCCGCTGGACCAGCTGCACGATAGATTAAGATTAATATGCGTAGAACAAGTCATCTGGCAGGCAGCTGCCATCTATGGATGAGGCCGCGGAGGAGGAACCCAGCTCGTGCGTATGCGGACCTGGTCAGTGCGGAACTCATCAGAGGAAATAGTAGAATAAATCCAGTGTTTAATGCAAGCAGCACCTCGGAGGCCGATCGTCGCAAAATCTTTGGTGGGGAAGCCCAAGCAGCGCCAACCCAGTCGGTCCAAGTCAGTCAGCCACGGACGCCGATTTTCTGCTCGCTTCGTCAGTCCAGCAGTGACTATCCATCTTCTTCCTTTCACTCCTGCTTCGTGCATCACTTTCATCATCGCCTTCAATCACGGTCATCATCTCCATCATCATCCCTGTCCGCTTATATATCTAGCGGTCCTTTTCCCTCCCCCGCCCACCACCACTACTACTAACTCCGAGCCTCCGCGAAACCCACCCACCGCCCGCTTCGGTTCCCAACAGACTCAGGAACGCGCCAAAGACCTGCTCAGCTGCTCCAAAGGTCTTTCTTACATCACCATCCCCCTTCCATCTGCCCCCCTGTATGGACTGCGGGACGACTGGCACGGCTGCGGGCATCGACCCCAAAATTTTAGATAATTGGCAATCGGATACGTTTCCGATCTCTTCCTGGGAACAACATCCCGCTTACGACCAACCGCTGGAGTGGGATGCGAGCCAGGACTCGAGCCCAGGTGATGCGGATATCGTGGATCTGAATAACCTCCGTGGTCCCCTGTCGCGGGACCAATCCACCGTCCCGGTGGTAGGTCATGCAGGCGACTTTCGAGGTAGTGAGAGCAGGTGCGAATTATTCCATCCTCCCCTAAACCCTGGAGCTTCCGGCTGACAGGTACCCCTCCCGCGCAGCAGCAAACATGGTGCCACTTCCCCTGGGAAGTTCAGCATCAACGACGGTCCTATCGAAGGCACCGTGAGTGGTACGATCAGCCCGAGGACGCTGCCCTCTTCCGCCGACGATAACTTCCAGCTGGATGAGTCATGGCCGCCTTTTCAACTGTTCAACGCCATGACGGCTGGCCTTCCTATGGAGGCTCCCCTGATGTACCCGTACGCCAAGGAGCCTACCTCTACCAATACGGTTATTGTAGAAGACACCGGAGAGTTGCCGCAAGGACAGGGCTTGTCCGATCTTCCTCCCGATCCATTCCTCTCCTTTCAGAATATCCCCCAGGCTTTTCCCTTCTCGACCGCCGAGGCCTGGACGGCACCGACTGCGACCACTCCCACGGAGAACCTGCCTAACCAGACCCCGGTATCCCTGGCGATGGGTCTGCAATCGGCTAGCAAACGCTCAGGACACATCCGCGACTACCAGGGCTCGATGCGATCACTGGATTCTCGCTGGCTTGAAGGTCTGGAGTCTCAGCTGTCTTCCAATATGACATCCCCAGCATCGTTGTCGATCCCCCAGGACGCGACATTCTTTAAGGAGGAGAGAATCCAGCATGACGGCTTGCAATACAAATCGGAGAGTTCTTCGGTTTCTGGCGACTTCCCTAACGTCTACGAATCGTACCCCGCTAGCAACGACGAGATCCCCGCTTTTGCTGATCGCCAACTCGAAGACAATGGACTCTGGAAAGATACCCAAAAGGACAGCACCTCCTCGGAGACATCTCAACCTCTACAAAATGCGACCGCCTTCATGGTCAGTGAAGACCCATCGGAGGCCTACTTCACGCCGGTCTCTGCAAGACCCAGAGCCTCGTCATCCGCGCAGAGGGCACCCGCTCGGCCACAGGCTCTCGCACTACAGACAGTGGCCACAGTCAGGAAGCGCAAGCAACGTAACTCAAGCGTGCATCTGGACCAGAACCTGCCCAAGCCGTTGCAGATCGTGCAGGAAGACGGCCAGGGAGGATCTATTGCTTCGGCGGATTTTATATCACCGCCTCGGGGAGCGCGCCGCAAGGGCCCTTTGAGCATGGTCGGCAGAGCCAATGCTGGACTGCGAAGAAAGAACAAGGACACATGTGTCCAGTGTCGACTGAACAAGCGCAAGGTATGCACTCAGCCGATCTAATTCTAGATTTGCGTCTAACGAAATTGCAAGTGTGATGGCAACGCTCCGTGCGATGCTTGCCGCCCTACGCTCCACGAACAGCCTTGCGCACGTGCCTGCTTTGCCAACATTGTCGAGTATGGTACATGTAATTATGTTTGTATGTTGCGATCCCTACGCCACTAGGATTGGTTCTTGTTGCTAACGGACACCAGCTCAACGAGCGATCAACCATCCCACCACAGATGGTGCTAGACGCGTCCGGATGGACATTCCTTCTGAGTTCGACCTCAACGATCTGATCACGTTCCTCGGTGAGCGACAAGGTCGATTCAACATCCGTGCCAAGCAGTCCTGGGGATCCCTATATGTCCTCGACCTTGGGGAGACCTACAAGTTCCTACGCGGACTCAGCGAGTACAATGGCAACTCAAAGTCCAACTTCCTCGATTTCATTGATCGGCGCATTGTCGAATCGAAGGACAAGTCCAAGAACTGGCTCACATGCGTGAAAGACTGCGACCCGATGAACAACGTCTATGTAAGTGACCGTTGGTGTCCGCTTGATGCGAACAATTACTGACTTCGACAGTCCTTACTCTCGCAATGGAATAACATGCCTAGCCGTGCTAGCTACAGTTTCGTTCCTCTCCAAGCCGGAGGCCATGAAAGAACCATGGACATCAACAACCCTGAAGACCGTCGCGAGATCCTCCTTGCAGCACAGCTGTCCCGCATCATCTGCCGTATGCTTGAGGTGGAGGGATTCCGAAAGCTGGAACGCGACTTCTACAACATCAAGTGGAAGCAGATCTCTCAAGAAACCCACTTGCGTTTCCTGAGCGAGCTGGGCCATATCCTGCTTACCCTCCGCTGGCGAGTTTCTTGGTGGCGTCGTCTCGGTGACGGCGGTCGCGAACCCGACCCCAGTAAGCAGCACTACGTGGATCGGGTCGACCTACTATGCCGGATTCTTTACGTCTACTACACCTGCGTCCTGGCCAAGCTTCCTTCCTGGTGCGCCGCCGATGTTCCCAAGGGCATCTGGAACACCTATGCCGATGCGGAGAATGCCGTGTGGGATGACTTCCCGGTCGACCCTACTGACGAAGGATTCCGGAGGTGGATTGATCGCGGCCAAGAGCTGGTCGAGCAGTCCGGTGCCCCGACCTGTGTTGCGAAGCTAGGCAAAAATGCCTAGACGAGTCGACCCGGTGAAAAACAACCAAAACGACGGCGGATGGAATGATACTGAATTTGAGATACCCTTTGAAGCGATATAACTTTCTCTCGTCTCCTCTACTTTTGCGTTTTCATGAGTGATGATCCGTGCTAATTTTCGTGGATATAATTTTTATTTGGGCTG